GTTGGCCCCGAAAAACTTACCCAGCAAAGTTCTCCTTTGTCTTTGAAAATGAAATAAAATTCTTCCACAGTAAAGAAAAGGTAAAAGAATATGCCTCTTCCAAACATGCCCTACAAAGGATACTTCAAGATGTTCTCTTGAGAGAGAAAAGGAATAGTTCCCCCCTAAAACCAAAGGCAAATGTGAAGAACATCCCAGTAAAAGAACAGAAGACTAAATGAACAACCCATTGCTAAAATGACAGGGCCAAATTACCACCCATTCATATTAACCCTGAATGTAAATGGCTTAAACTCATCAATCAAACGTCATAGATCAGTAGACTAGATTAAAAAAAAACAAAACCCATCTATTTGTTGCCTACAGAAGACATATCTCACCAACAAAGATTAGTGGAAACTATATCTCATGGATTTTGGTGGATTTTTTTTTTTTTTGTAATTTAGTTTTATCTCTTCAAAACACATTCTCATTAAATTTTTAGGTGACTCAAAGATCATTTTCCTCAAGAAGATTCTTGATTTTCATTTTCTTTTTCATTTCTTCAGCAACACATTAGTCATTCAGCATCATGTTATTTACGTTCATGGCATTGTGAATTTCTATTTTTCTTCCTGTTCCTGATTTTGTCTTGCGGCTTTTCATTAAGGAGATGTATAGTAACTATGTAATGGAGACTATCATATCCAGATATGAGGATACAATGCAGTATGCATCTCTACTTCAAGACAAAGATGGACTCCCTATGAAACTGTTTACTATATCTTGACAATAGGATGCTGGACCCTTTGCCATTGTCCATGCTCTCAATGATGGAAAAATGACTAAAGTTTATGAAGAACTATACTATACTATTAATACAGGGGAACTCAGTAAGGAGGGAGGGAAGTTGGGGAGAGTGTAAGGGAAATCCCAGGGCCTATGGGACTATATTATAAAATGATAATAATTTTTTTTAATTTTAAAAAAATAGCAAGGGGGATATTTTATTTCCTCTTGCTATCTGAACAAATGAGAAATGACTAACATTGTTGATCAAAGTCCCTGCTCACATGTTGGGGCAGAGAGGAAGAACCAGTTAAAATGTTTGTACATCTTTCAGCAGTTTTTGTATTCAGTCAGTTTGATCTACAAGGGAAACCAAGCACTCCTGTTTCACATTACTGCAGTTCTCCCTCTGCAAGTGCATAGAGAGAAAGGAGTCTGTCAGAACTCTACTAATGGGAAGAAATGCTACAGGGCCACAGGGAACGCTCTCTTGGAGGAATTGAAGGTGTACTGTAGACTATCTGGGATATGTCTTTTTACATTCCTCTTTCCTCTGTGGGCCATAAATCCTGTCAATTCATGAGTTGTGGACGAAGAGTGAAACAGAAAATTGCTTCAGTAGTACACAGCCCGAGCTGGTAGTTAAACCAAATGACAATATTAAGCTCAAGCTTAGATGACTGTTATTTTATACTTTCTTTAAACTGTGAAGAAAATAGGGTTCTCGCCACAAGATGAGTCTGGGGAACTGGGAGAGGGAGAAAGTAAAAGGCATGTGTCTGATTGCATGTTTGCATATGTGTTTAATGCAGACTTTCACGATCCATCGCCTGTAGGATTGATCCATGTGCTAACAGGATTAAGGGCATATGTCAGTTGAAACAGACTAGGTGAGCGTGCCACACAGTCAGGAGAAAAGGGGAAACCACAGAAGTGTAGGAACACTGTGCCCTATGCCAGCACACACATAGTATCTGTTACCAGAACTTATGTATTACAGTCCACTAACTGCCTACCAGACTCGCCCCCAACCCCATTCCTTTCTTCACAGTCTCTGGATGTAAAGCTGTCAGGATAACAGTTCATTTCACAGCCTCCTGCACGATCAGCTGGCCAGGTGACTAAATTCTCGCCAGTAGTTCCATGAGGAATAAAATGCATTCCACTTCCTGGCTGGTGAACTAAGCTGTGTGTGCTTGTCCTTGTCACCGCCTGAGGTATACACCTGTCTTGTACCAGCATACACCTTGCCCTCAAGTAGAGAAACACTGAAGAGGACCCCAAAACACAGAAGGAATCCGCACACTTAAATGGCCATGTAGAGCAAAAGTCATCTGACCAGGAGAAATAGCTGCCTGCCATTTCAGCAGTTACATTTGTTGATCCTTTAGTAAGTATAATTTAGCTTTTATCCTAATATTACATATTTTGTAATTGAGGGTTTAACAAAAGAACCCTCAGAGGACATGTTTTTTGTTTAAAATAAATCTTCCCCAATTTCTAGAAGTGACTACTCTATTTTAAAGACAATAATATGATAATTACTTCATAGCACCTCACATAGAAAAAGCTTTATAAATTAAGGAACACTTCATGTGTGTGCAGCCATGTTGTGCAGGCAAGGAGGAGACAAGGTTGTCAGGAACTCCCAGTATCTCTACTCAAACATCTCTCACCTGCCCCACACTTTTCATGCAGTGGAAAATCATGGTTTTTAGGAAGCCACCACTTAAGAGATGACGCCAGGCAAAAATAACTAATAGAGCTGCCAACATAACTGTGTCCACGTGATGACTTTTATGTAATGATATTATTGAAATAAAACCATGTGGCCAACACTCATGCTCCCATCACACACGTGATGCCGTGGCACTCCTGAGATTTCCAAAATAGGGCAAGGAAATGAGTGGTCCTCAAATGTTGCTGCAAACGCCACACATACGAATATTCAATTTTCATTTCAGATACCACCCCTAAGCCAACAGATCCAAGATGACAGACTTCCTCACCGAGGACATCTTACCCTCAACAACTCCCTCTTTAGTGGGAACTTTTCTCTGCATGCTAATTCATCTGTTCCTCTCACCTCCTAAGGAACATATGGCAATGTCTACAAGCTCTGAGAGTTGTCACCACTTGAGGAGTTGGGCTACTACTGGCTTCTATAAAAGTAGGGAGAGGCTAAGGACATCACTAAACATTCTAGAATGAACAGGATGCCTGTAGAACAACAGCACTCTCTTCCAAACGGCAACAGAGCTAGGGCTGGCAACCCCTTTATTACCTCATCCCATGATCCATCAGGTGTTTGCCAAGGCTGCCCTGCAAGCTCAACAAGATGTACTTTCTTTCCCTCTTTCCTCACTTTCCCTCTTTCTCCCCCAGCACAATTTCCCGGTGTTAGAAGTATAAGGATTTATTCCAATATCCCACCCTGGACCCTGTGCCATTTCTTCCTCACAGCTCACGGGATTCGCGCCAGTGCAGCCATCCACCAATCAGATGTAACCTGGCATTCCACCTGAGAATCCCACCCCCAATCTCCCAGCCCCTTCCCCAAACCCACCCACTCGCCAATCATCCCCAGGCATTCACCTGCAGGCACCAATCCCCTGGGGCCTTGACCTCAATTCCTCCGAATCCCCGCCCCCCCACACCTGGCAGACAAAAAAGGCCCCCAGGTGCGGTTCGCCCCTTTTTGCTCTCTCTCTTCCTCTCCTTGGTTCCTCTCCCCTGCTCTACCTCCCTTCCCTCCCCTTCCCTGTTCCTCCCCCACTTGGTTCTCTCTGTCTCTCTCTCTCTTCTTCCTTGCTCTCCCCCTTCCCTTTCCCTTTCCCCCTTTTCCTGCCCCGCTGGAATAAACTTCCTAAGCTATGTCGTTGCGTCTGGTGTTTTCAGCTCACGGTAAAGAACCAGGTTGCGAGAATTAGCTGCGCGTAAAGTATCTTAATATCGTATAACCTAGAACTAGAACTCTTCAACTCTTTTAAGTAACTAACAAGAAGGATGTTAGATATCCTCCCTCCCTCTGAGTCATTAACCTAATTCAATACCACTCACAAAAACAAACGTGAAAGAAATAAACTACACTAAGCCTTTGCTGATTAGAGGCTTTTTAAAATATGAATTGCTCTTCCAAACACCTATTTCTTAAAGAATGAAAGAAATCCAACTTAAGACTCTCTAAAGACCTCCACTGAATTTTACAAACTGTGACAAAGAAAAGGAAGCAGTAACAACTTTCCTGAGGGGGAGGGTCAATATTCAAAAGGAACCCCACTGGGGCTGGGTGGGGTGAGGGGTTAAGGGGTCCAGGCCAGAGTTCAGGATGGCAGCCACAGAGGGACAAACCTGGGCCTCCATGGGAGCGACTTGATGATGGTCATGATTCTCCCAGAGTGACTTTGAGTTTGCACCTGAACTCCAACGCTGCCAGAACAAGGAGGATGGGCCTAATGTGTGCCAGGTGGGAATGAAATTCAAATGAAAGGAAATTTCTTCAAATCATGACCACTGTTACATATTGAAAGCGGTCTGCATTGCTATGGTAGTTCTATTTAGACTAAGGAATGGATTAGATTTCCTAAGAGCTGTGTCTTCTGTTTTTATGTATTTTCCCTCAATTTTTTTGTCAACTGCCATTAGGTACATTGTCCCTCAGGCATTCACATCTTCCTGTGACTGCCTCTGAGTATAAATTATCCCCGAAGGACTCGTCCCTCTCTTCCAAGTACCCTGGCTTTTGTTGTTAATGAAAAGGCAGGTGGCGTTTTCTTTTTTGCTGTTTTTGGAAAGAAAAATGTTGGAAGGGCTCTGGAAAGATACTGTCTTCCCAACTTTAGTCTGAGCAGATGAAATACAAACATGCTCGCATCTTCTAAAGTTTCCTTTTCTTCTGTAGATAAAAATTACTAATTTTTCATGAATTTGGGGTTGAACTGTCTCTTTTAAAATGAAAGAGGGGTAGGAAATATTGGACGTGTGTGCACATCATCCTAAGACTGGTTCTCACAAGTTTCTCTGCCTTCCCAGACCAAGTTTAAGACACATCCTTACGTCTACCACCCTGCATTTATTACACCTTGGAATGTTAGCATCACAGTGCTGTTCCTTTAACAAACTGGCAGCCAGGGGGCGGGCCTCTGCAGCGTCGAAGGCTCTGATTGGTCCGGCCGGCAGGAAGTAGGCAGTGGGAGCGCGGCCCCGGGGACGCGCCGGGCCTGGCGGAGGAGGGCGTCAGGCCGCGGGAGCCGCTCTCCCTTAAAGGCGCGCGTGGGAACGTGGGTGCAAGACGGGGTCGGTCCATCCGGGTGCGTGCCGAGCCCTGGCAGGAGCTTCGCGAAGCTGCCGCTCCTTCGCGAACGGGCTGCCGCGGGCCGGGGTCCCCGAGAGCCGGTCCTTCCGCCCGGCGGCCCCGCTGTCGGGGGGCTGCCGGCTCAGCACCTGCCGCCCGCGCCGCCCGGCCGAGGCCCCCCGTGTCAACCTGGGATCTCTCTTTTCCCTGTTCTGCAGGCTGGCTTGCGGCGACATGGCGCAAAGGGCCTTCCCGAATCCCTATGCCGATTATAACAAATCCCTGGCCGAAGGCTACTTTGATTCTGCTGGGAGGGTGAGTTTCGGAGGAGCTCTACTTGCAACTTTTCCTCCTCGCCGCCCCCTGGGGCTTCGGAAAGGAGCTAGGTTTTGCCTGATGGAATTCGCATTCCCTTTTTAAACCTAAGACTTAAGAAGAAATGCGTAAAAATCAGTTTAGCCCGTGAAATGCATGTTCAGATGTTCTGTTTGCCTGTCACGTGACTATCTGAATTAAGTCATTGCTAATATGAACAATTGGAGAATAACTTCAGTCGTTGATAACTTTTAAAAATTGGCAGATGGGCTTCTGGCCGGGCAGTGTGCATTTGTGGCCTGTCTTGGGGTGCCTCATTAAGACAGGTGAGCGGGCGTGCAGGTCTGCACACGTGCCATGTTATTCCTTTAAGGCGCTGCACGAACAAGTCAGTACCAGGTGACTATGAGAAAGAACTGGGGCATGTTGCACAGCACATCTTAAACCACCAGCGCTTACGGAAATTTAGGAGACCGCCGGTGTGTAATTCTTCATACCGTTGCGGTTCTTTAGAGAACATCCTCACAGTTTGGGGTACCACGGCAATGAGAGAACCTGCTAGGACTTTCCCAAGCGTCTGGAGAATGTGCGTGTGAGATGCCACGGGTCTGTGTTTTCTCCACCTGACCGGCAAATAATCGAGGGGAGGACAGAGTGATTTTTTTTTTCACCAGTTCATGCCTTCAAAACTTATACAGAAAGCGTTTGACATTTGACATGATGGCTTTATAGGTTTCATACCTTTCAGCTTATGTGGCCTGTTGCTTCTTCCCTCCAGACACTGGCATTATAGGTGAACATAGGCCAATAGTGCAGGTAGCGGGGTAGTTGCCTGCCAAAATGTACATGGAATGAAGTCAGTCTAATTTAGGCCATCAGTAAGCCATCCAAACAAAACTAAGGATGCATTCTCTTCAGGCCCGATGGCTCCCCTTTCTCCATGTTGGGTCTGTCTCACGCCTGCTGCTGCAGATCCTGACCGGGAAGATGTGTCTTGTTCTGTAGGAAGCAGACACGCTGTATCATGTCCACTTGGCAGAGAGAACACTCGAGGGTGTGTCCTGACAGTGCAGGCCTTCAAGAGAACACGACTCAGAAGTTAACTCTTTATAAGTGTAACTCATTCATTCTGGGGGAGAACAAGATACTGTTAGGGTTAAGCCAACCCATCATTGAACATGAAAGATCAGACCCCTGAGAGCTGTCCTCCTTCATACGTTAACGGAGAGATTTCAGTGAGGAACCAGTCTGTTTTCTGGCATTTATCAGAGAAAAGGGTCTTTGAGAGACACCTCACGCTCCTGCTAGAGTTTGAGTAATTCAGTAATCTGCCACGAGCTGCCAGTGTTCCCTGGGGACAGGGCACTTTCTTAGATGCAGTATGTGCCTGATGGAAAGGAACGTCCCCCGTGGGCTAGGGCTGTCTCCTCCTTGGTCTCTCCCATCCAGGCCAAGCAAAATGATGAAGATGCAAGGTCTGTGTGCAGAAGATGCGCCCTTCTCCTGCGCTTAGAATTACAGTCCTCTTATATCAATACTGAAGCGTACACTGTCTTACTGTGTCTTATGGAAATCTTAACCTTTGGACATCAATTGTTAAATCATGGGACTGTCGCTGTCAAGCCATGTGGTTTCTTCTTCAGAGTGTGAAATAAGGGATGCTAGCGGTGTTTCAGAATAAATAATGTAGATCTGGTAGAATGTCTGATTTGCCTTTTATCTGGATGGTCCTCACCTTAAATTATTATTCGGATACTGTCTTCTCACCCCTTTCAGTGTTAATATAGTCCTTTTTAAAAATAAGATTTGATGCTAACAGAGTGACTAAATTTGTTTCTACAATCCGGCAATGATATTAGTATATCATGACATACAGTGTTTGGTCTCCTGTAATGCTATTCTTAAAATTTTTACTGCTTTGTGAAATCTAAGTATGAGAATCATAGCATAAGTTCCCATAATGGTTGCGGGATGCATTGCAGTGATCTTTGAGAAAGATTCTTTACTTACTCCACCTGCCCAACACTGGAGAGCAAGCCCACAGCCCCACAACCTTACTGTACTTTCACTTCATATCCGACTGTTGGCATAGACGCGTGGGCTGCTAAAGAATACTAAAAATGTTAACATTAACATCATTAAGTAAGGCAGACCTGTTACATAACATCTCATTTATTCCTCAAAGCACCTTTTGAAATAGGTGGTCACAGGTCTTATCCCAGTTTGATGAAGACAGTTGAACTGTAAAGAAGCCATGAGTTGAGCAGGGCCCTCAGCTGGTGACAGGGAGCAGTGCTGTCAGGCTTTCATTTCACAGTGCCAACCGCCCTACTTTGTCCAGACACTGTGCTGGACATGTGTTTCTGATCTCCAGTTGGATGAACCTTTTCTGTCTGAGGTTCCTAATACAAGTACACATATGGGATTTGAGTGGCTTTGTTTTTTTAACGCCACTTCTAGGGTTTCTTTTTTGTTTGTTTGTTTTTTAGATACTCATTAAAGCAATTAGAATGCTTCCAGGGAGAATTGAGATTGTTACTGCTTGAATACTACAAATCTAATGGCTTGAAAATTGCAACATCTTCTGATTTGTGTTTACCAAGAAATAATGTTTTAAATAGTAGATTATCTTTTATTAGGTGAGAAATTGTCATGATCCAATTTATTATTGGCAATCTATTTTAGTATTTACAGTTATAAAACATTTAAGTTTAAGTAATATTTCTTCAATGGGAAAATGTAGTATGCTTAACCTTTGTTAATATACTATAGTTGTTTAAGAATAGATAATAAATAGCGTCGCGCAGACAGAAAAATGTGGCCTAATTGGAAATGAAATACTGTCCATTTGGGTTTAGTTCAGGAAGTTGAGTAGCCTATGTGTTTTTGATGCTTGTTTTCTCTTAATACCTGTAGCTGATGCCCGAGTTCTCCCAACGCTTGACCAATAAGATTCGAGAACTACTTCAGCAAATGGAGAGAGGCCTAAAGTCAGCAGACCCTCGCGATGGCACTGCTTACACTGGCTGGGCAGGTAGGAAGAGCAGAGCGGACAGTGAGCCAAAGTGAGCACTGTGTGGGCAGGTAGCTTGCCCTTTGGCGAGCTGTCTCACTTGATGGTGTGCCCTTAAATGCTTCCTGGGCGTACTGCTAGGAAAGAGGGCTGGGCTGCGAGCCCAGCCAGGGAACCCTGACGATTTTTAACTGAACCCAGAATTTAGGGTATGGTAAGCATATTTTTCATCTTCATGAAAGATGTTTGGATGCCTTCTATATTTGGGGGTGGAAAAACTGGTTTGCATCATTACACAGTTAATTTGGAGCTAAAATTTCAATAAGAAGACTAAGGAAGAACTCCACAACACAGTGCCTGAAACAGAGGTAAAGAGAATTTATCTAAGGAAATATGCCCAGAGTGTTGAAAACAATTGCTGCAAAACAGGGAACTATACCGGGAAAAGGATAAAGTGTTAGTCCCAATGATTGAGTCCTTCCTGAGGATTGGCTTGCATTTGATCGTGAAGATTTGGGAGGAAACAGTACGTGGGTGTCAAGTGAGAGAGTAACGAAAGGTGGCGAGTTAAAGAAGGGAAATTACTAATGTACAGACAAAGATGCAGCTTTATAATCTTGAGGAAGTTTTTGTTTGAAAGGCAAAGTAACAGAGAAAAAGGGAGAGACTATTAGCTAGTTTAGTTTCCAAATGGCCATGACAGCTGGGGCTGGTACTGGTACAGAACCAGGCTGAAGACAAGAGCGCAGAACTCCATCCGAGTTTCCCATATGAATATTGGAGGTCCATGTACTTAGACCATCTTCAGCTTCCTTTCCAGGCACATCTGCAGGAAGCTAGATTAGAAGCAGAGCAGCAATATCTGGAAATAGTGCCCTGGTACTTACATGCTGCACCACAGGACCCACCACTAAATTAGTTTGAGAGTGTTAAACATGGCCATCAGTCAAATCTGCCTCACTTGCACTAAATCAGAAACTAAAAGTTAATGTCTTTGGAAATAGAAAGCAAGTTTAACTTCAAAATAAAGTCCCATTTGCTGAAGTTTTGGCTGCATAATGTTTCTGGCGTCATCTCCTTTGATTGGCACTATCCTTCGGTCTTTTTTCATTAAGTATCTATAATTTTCATTGCTCATAGCTTCCGAAAGTGCTTCAGATGGCCAGTATCTGAGGCAAATTGGCAGACTAAGCAACTGGGAAGTCTTTACTTTGCTGATTGTCTTATGATTCAGCAAAAAAAAATTCTCTAGATAAAATTGCTAATGGTTTCCTAGGCACAGTTCCTAATGTCTCCTAATCAAACACATTATTCCTACCAGAAAAAAAAAAAACATTAGCAATAATAATAATAAAAGACTGTCTCCTCCGTCTCCTTTACTGTCATAGTAAGTAAAATATGGACCTGTATCCGGGTTTAGTCTGAATAACATAAAGCTCTGAAAACTGGACATTCCTATGAAGAAGACCGAAACTAGATTCCTTTCCCTGATCATATTCAAAATCAACTCAGAAGGAACCAAAGACTTAAATCTAAGACTTGAAAGCATGAAATTACTAGAAATAAGGGAAACACTGCAGGACATCAATACAGGCAATGGCTTTAAAATAAAACCGCAAAGCACTGGAAATAACAGCAGACACAGACAAGCAAGATTATGTTTCCTTCTGCACAGCAAAGAAAATAAGAGTAAAGAGCCAGCTTGTGGAATGGGAGAAAATATTTGCAAAGTTCATCCAACGAGGGACTGACAAATAAAATATGTAAAGAACTAAAGATATTCAATAGTTAAAAAAAAAAGTGATCCAGTCAAAAATGGGCATATGATACAGGTAAACATATCTCAAAAAAAGAAACAAATGCTTTAGTGGCATATTAAGTCAAACCATTAATTAGGGAAATGTATGACAAAGTACAATGAGATACCTTATCCCAGTGAAGATAACTATTATCACAAAAACAAAAACGAGCATGTGCTGGAAAGGATTCAACAAAGGGGTACACTTAGCCAGTGACAGTGAGACTACAAATGAGTATAGTAACTATGGAAAACAGTAGGTAGTAGCCTCAAACTAAAACTCAAAACTGAACAACCAAATGATCTAGCTCTTCCACAGGCAGTTATATATCCAGAGGACATGAAAGCAGAATGTGAAGGAAGTACCTGCCTTTCCATGTTTATTACAGTACTACACAATAGCTAACATGTAGAACCAATTCAGATGTCCATTGACAGACGACTGGATAAAGAAAATGTACATATGGCTCTAGCACAATGCCTAAATCCTCACTTTGCATGCGCTGCATCCCATAGGGGCACTGGTTTATGTCCCAGCTGCTCTCCTTTCCATCCAGCTCCTGAAAGCAGTAAGAGGATGGTCCAAAGTCTTGGGACCCTGCACCCAGGTGGAAGACCCAGAAGAAGCTCCTGGTTCCTGGCTTCAGATCAGCTCCGCACCAGCCGTTGTGACCACTTGGGGAGTGAACAGTAAATGGTCTTACTCTCTGTCTTTCCTTCTCTGTAAAAACCTTTAAAAAGACAAAGGAAAATGCACATATGCGAACAGGAGTATCATTCTACCTTTTAAAAACTAAATCCTGTTATTTCTAGCAACATGGATGAAACGGAATATTTTTTGTTACATGAATTAAGCCATACATGCAGTAAAAGATAAATATTTGATCTTACTCATATACATAGAAGCTAAAAAAGCTGATTTCCTTACCAGTAAATCTTAGAATAGGGCCCACCAGATTCTAAAAGGTAGGAGAGCTAGGAGACTGGAATCAGGGACAAAACTGCTCTTGGTTAAGAAGAATAGATTCTGATGTTTATAGCATAGGAAGGTGACTAAGTGGACAATAAGTTATTGTCTGTTTCCAAATAACTAGAAGAAAGGATTTTGAATGTTCCTTACCCAAGTAAAAGTTACATGTTTGGGGTCGCAGGTTATGTTAATTGCCCTACTTTGATCACTATACATATATTGAAATATTACATTATACTCCATAAACATATGAAGTACCATGTCAGGTTAAAATAAATAAAAAATAAAGCTCTTATGTTTAAGCTAAGCCACAAAAATGAATACTAATGCTTTCTCCCCTCATTATTGTAGAGCTTACCACGTATTATTACTCAGACTACAGTGTTAGTACCAAAAGTGCATTCTCAGTACAGTAAAGTACATGGTGGTGTTTGTCAAAACTGCCTTTATTACTGAGATTTGCATGTTGCTGTGGGGTGGGCCTCATGTGTCTTTCAACATGATACTTTTTAGGGAATAGGGATTATATAACTTTGTTCATCAGATTTAAGGCTTTTTTTAAAAACAAAAACTTACTAGTTGCTTTTGTTACATTGTAGTCTTTTAACTTCAACATCGCTGCTTACTGAGCATTTGTTAGCATACAATGAAAGCTTTTTTTGCAAAGTTAATGTATGATTCATTGTATACTTTGTATGATAAATGCATGAGTATTACAATTAGTTAGAACCTTCATTTTCCAGTCAGTTCTGAGAGCTGACACTGGTTCATATGGGGCCAGGATTTGAAATGGGATCAGCTCCAACTCCCTGTTCTCAAACAATCAATACCTTCTTTTTCTCTTGTGTGAGAACAGTGAGAGGGGCTAGTCCACACTGTTTTGGCAGGGTAGGGACGTTAGGGGAACTAAGGCCCCTCCCCTTGGCAGCACCAGTGCTCAGACCCCAGCTTCTTCTCTACAAGCCCTGTGGAGCAAGAGCCTCAATTTTTCCATCTATAAAAAAAAAAATCTCTAACTTTTGCCCACTTCTGGAAGGATTTTTAACAGTGTAAGACATTTTAAGCAAATATTTTGCTGACTCTTTTTTTTTCCAGGGAGAGACTAATTTTTTATTCAAAACATTTTTTTAAAGCTTTTTCCTTAATTTCAGTAGTAATCTAGATTTTTTTCATAAAACCTGTCATAAAAAAGACTACTATAGAAATAGCAAATCATGGATAATTTTTCTAGAGTGAAGTGTAACCAATCTAAGACAGACTTCAATGAATTCTGAACTTAATATTATGAAACTGCTATTTTCTCTGCTTGCTTAAATGCTCTGCCTCATCTTTCTGCTGGCTTTGTTTCCTGTTGCAAGATTATACAAAGCCTTTAATTTGCTTGTCTTATACATCAATCCATATTAAACACCATAGTCATAAATAAATAAATTTTTAATAAAACTACAAAGCTCTGCTTCCTGAGTTCATGTGGCCTCATTCCTGCCCTCACACTTGCCTCAGTTGCCCAGTCGATCTTGGAGAGGAAAGAGTTCCCGTGAAGGGCTGAAGCGCCGTGTGCGTTTGTCATGGTGTATGTATTTACAGCTGACACTGGACTGACAGAAACACTGAGGCCAGCAGTAACAACTACAGTTTCTGCACCTCTGTGTGCCCTGTGTGTTTCATTGATTCACTAATACAAACCGCAGAACTCTCCATGGCACAAATGCTGTTCATATCCCCATTTCAACAATGAGAACAATAAGCACGGTGGGCTGAACATCTCCTTTAAGGTTATAAAGCTAGTAAGCAACCAAATGAGGTTTCAGCCCCAACAGGTGTGTGTGTGTGTGTGTGTGTTTATTGTATGTTAAGGTTTATTGTGTACATTTGATAAGTAAAAATCTAGTGATAAGCTGTAAGATGGAATAGTTTCAGTAATGCAACACGATATTCATGTTTTACAAACTTAGAAATAGCTAATGACTAGTAAAATTTGAGCATTTTATTTTTAAAGAATTAGAATAACCCCTGATGAAGCATGAAAATAATTTAGAAAGAGGGAAATGGAGCTTAGCTTATTAGATAGGCAAGAGTAATTACTATATAAAGGTCTATGGGGAAAAGTTATTTAGCATTGCATATAAAATAAACCCTGGAAAGATGTATGGGCATAAACAACTAGAAAAATGAATTCTGCAGGGTGCTTTTCTCCCTTCCTAATCCTGTATTAATATATTCAGCATGGTTTCAGGATAGAAAATTAACTGG